ATTTAGATTTAAAATTTTATTATATTTTATAATATAATTAGTTTCCAAATTTAAATATCAACATTTAGTAAAGTGGATTTTTAACTTTGAATTAAAATTTTAATTTTCAAATATAAGTTAGAATTTTAATTTTTTTGGAAATTAGAACTGATACACATTAATCTTTATGTATAAATATGTTATTAAGGGCTACATGTGCCCTTATCCCTATGTAAACCAAAGTAGATTTCGTTTCATATAAGTCAGTATGGTCAATACATATTAGTTTTTCATTAAGCCAAAATGATACAAAATTTAATTTCGTTTCAATCAAATTTTGGTGTATTGATCGGTATTTTGCACACTAATTGATGCACCGAAAATCGGCCGGTGCAAATCAATTGAAATTTAAAAAGGGTAAATTCCATTTTTGGTTTTCAATTTTAATGTTTTGCATAATTTTCATCATTTAATTTTTTTATGCATTCATTTTTTTAGTTCTTTTATAAATTAGTCCGTTCAGTTTGTCTAAATATGTATATTTTTAGTCCCTTAACTTAAAATGGAAGAACAAAAGATATGCATATATTAAAAGTTTAGGAACTAAAAATGTGTATTTTTAGTCCCTTTAACAATTTCAAATTCTAACTTCTAGTTTTTAGTATTCATTAGTTGCTCCTCTTTCTTCTCAGTAATGTTTTGATTTGTCTTTTACATTCTTGTTATACTTAAAAACCATGATTCCTTCCTTTACGAAAGTATTTGGTATTGCAAATTATATAATATTAAACTTATAACATTGTTATGCTTCTTAATATTATTTTAATGTTCAAAAAAAATTATGAATGTTTTATAAAGTTGGCAATTTTAAACCTATTTTTAATTTATAAGAATATAATGATTTTAAACAATAATTTCTCTTATCATTATCTTAAAATTTGATATTTAATTTATAAAAATATATATTTATAACGATAAATCTAAAATGATACGTGAAAAATTTTAATATTCAATACGTACTGTTTCAGTAATAAAACCACTAAATACCATTCTAATAATAAAACTAATACATATATTGATACGGTATTGATTACTTTGATTAAACACACCAATACAACACCAATGTTTATTAAAGCTAATTTTGTTTTTTATTTTTATGGAAGCACATTTTTATAATTCAAATTGTATCAAATTTCAAAATAAAGATAATTAGAGGGGAAAAGGTTTCCAATATTAAAAAACCCACACTCATCTGCAATTCGATTTAGTCTAAATTATATTACACTTTCTCATATTTTTATTGCTAAATTATCACACATAATTTTGGTTTTGCAAAAATAAACCCTAAATTTTATCAAATTCCTCGAGGGTAAGAAAGGTATTTTACATCGGCTCTCCCACCTCCCACGGGGTTTTACACCCCAGTTTCTGACCCTAAAACCCTACTCTGCTATCTCAGTTTCCCTTGCCTCACTGATCCCACGGTATTCGCGCCGCGTCGAGATGCCTTCTAACGTAGCCAAAAACCGCGCCTCTCTCCGCTCCGGTGCCGATGACGGTCTCATCGCCAGGCTGTCCCGCACCGTTTCCAACTCGCCGATAACCGTCGCTACCAGACAAGCAGCGACCGATGCGAAGGTGGTCACGAAGAAGCTGCTGTGGAGCACGGGAAGAGCAGCGTGGATTGCTGGAACGACGTTTCTCATCCTGGCGGTGCCGCTCATCATCGAGATGGACCGCGAGCAGCAGTTTAACGAATTGGAGTTGCAGCAGCAGAGCCTCCTCGGTACTCCGCCTCTGGCTTCTGCTCTCAAGTAAACTCGATCGCATTTTATCTGCTAGGGTTTTCTTTAGGGCTATTCTTCATTTAGTTAAAGAACGAAACTTGATGTCTTCTTCAATACAATTGTTATGAAATTCGAGTATTTTTGATACATTACAGAAGCAGTTTAGATTTAATATGCCATGTTTCTTGCTTGCTGTTGTTGAATCTGAGATGATAATTTCTTGATTGTAACTCAATCGGGACATTTGATTATTAACGCGCAACAAAAGAAAGAAATCCAACAGCCCCTTGAATATTTTATTTGTCATTCCCCCTTTGATTGATAGCAGAAAACAATGTCATAAAGTTTTGATCTTTAGCCACTGAATTTGAGATCTTTCACTCTGTTTCTTCTTCATGTTGAGAACTGATCAAATTTGACCAAAAGAAATAGCATTTCATTCCAGTTAATGTTAACATTTTATTAATAAACGGTGCACACTCTGCCAATCAGAGGTCGAGTGCAGGTAGCACTGCTCATGATTGTATTGCCATTTGTTTGTTAGATATGTAGATGATGTCATAAAGTTTTGATCTTTAGGTATTGAATTTGAGATCTTTCACTCTGTTTCTTCTTTCATGATGAGAACTGATCAAATTTGATCAAAAGAAATAATAATTCATTATTGACATTTTACTAATGAACAGTGCACACTTCGTCAATAAGAGGCTGAGTGCAGTTGGCACCGCTCATGATTGTATTGCCGTTTGTTTGTTAGATATGTAGATGATGGCATAAAACAATGTCAAACTCTTTATTGATCTTTGTTATTGAATTTATGATCCTTCCGTGTCTTGTTCTTGAGTGTTTGTAACTGATGGTATTCAGCCAAACAAGATGATGAATATTTCATTATAGTCATGTAGAAACAAATTATAAGTGGACCTCACCCCACAAAACTGTCAATTTCTTAGTCCCAGTCCAGACAAATGTTAACCTAACTTTTTTCTTAATTTTTTTATTTTAAGTTACATAATAAAAACAACTCTCTCTCGTTTCTTAATTCATCATGTTCACATATCATATGATTCGAATTAATGATTTTTTACTTTCATAGAAAAAAAATTACCACTAAGATAATTAAAAATATTTTTTAAACTCAATTATTTGACAACATACAATGGTAAACATTAAAGTAATAAAAAAATTGTTTTAAGCCACTAAAGAGATTTTTGTCCGATGGTAAAGGGGTAAACTGAGATTCTGCAAATTTTTACCGATACTAAGAAGAAATCTCTTTTCCCATTTACCCACCATGCAGTGTGCACGCACATGTGGTGTATGATTGAAGCTAGATTCTATTGTTTCCAATGAATAAAAAATAGAAAAGTAGAGTGCAGTACGCCCTTGCTTTCTCTAGAAAAAATAGCCCACCAAATAATAAGGTCAATACTCACTAGTATCCCTTGCATCATCCTATTTATGGCAATACTCAAAATAAATGTCATGGTAGCAAAATTAAAGTGAATTAAATATTGTGTCAAGATTCATGTGGTATTGGTACCATAGCAACTAAGATCAGATTCAACTTGAAAAGAATATAGTGGAACACTGTAGTGTACATGGATTTGAGTCTTGGGCTCCCAAACAAGAACTCCAATAGGAATGAATAAAGAAAGAAAAAGGGATCATCAACATGATAAACTTCAAAACAAAGGAAAGTGCTACTTAAACCAAGATTTTGTGTGAAAGTAAGTGAAACTCAAAAACGTGAAAAGGTTGAAATGATTATGCCCCATGCCAATGCCACCCACAATTGTTTCAAGTTCTTTTGATAACATATGCAGAGTTTGCAATTTTGCTTAAATTCAGTAATTTATATAATAATAGAAGAAAGAAAGTCAAACAAAACAAGTAATAGAAGAAGAAAAAAGTCTCATAAAACAAACAAACAAATCTGAGTGGAGAGAGAGGGAGAGGAGAAAGACATTGTTTACTTTCCAAAAAGCATAAAGACGTGAAGAAAATGGGAAAGCATTAGTACGAAGAAGAGAGGAAAAAAGAAAAAGACAATTACCCACATGGCTATCTAGTCAAGGGAAAATGGCCAAAACTAAACACATTACTCAAAACAACCAAAACCACCACCTTTCTTACCTTTCTGAGAATTTTCATTTTTACATTTCATGCACAATATTCTTCTCTGCCCCACAAATTGTTTCTCCAAACTGTGGATAGTGAAACTGAAAGCTCAACACAATTACACTTTTTTCATCATTTTCCTCACCAATTATATTCACCAGAAAAAACCCTCATTTCCTCTTCCAAAAAAAAAAAAGAAAAGTAAAATTCTAGAAAGAATCCACCACAAAAAGAACTCTTCCTCTTTAGAAATATTTATTTTCCTTCTTTCAGAGATCTGCAAGAATAATCAAATTGCAATCCCATCAGCATAAACAAATAAAAAAAATGGAGATATTTTCAAGGAAAGAAGGCAGAATTTGGGTCTATTTCATGTTTCCAAAATGCATACCATCATGTGTCTTTCTTCATCACACTTCTTGCAAACATGAGTAGAATAACTAGGAAGGCTATTCCTGCTGCCCCTCCTAATATTATAGCCACTGTCTTCCCTGCACTTTGTCCTGTCCCAAATCAATCAAAAACTTCCCCCATCAATGCATAATTCAAGAATTGTGCATAAGAATTGAGAAAGAAATGATTTTTAAGCCAGAAGTCTAGGTATTGTGCGCTTAAAGTCTTTTACTCATTGTCAATCTAAAAAGAAATCAAAATTAAAAACCAATTTGAAGCAAAGGAGATTCCTTTCCAATTTCCATGTTTATTTTACCTGAAGAAGAAGATGGAGAAGAATAAGATGGTGCGGATCTTCTAGGAACCCCATTTGGATAATAGCTATAACTGATGAAGCACTTATTTAGATAGACTTGGCCTGATGGAGAGCTGCCACACTCGACCTGAGCTTTCTGCACAGCAGTCTTCACACACTCTCCACAATCTGAATCCCCCACATCTCCCTCACATTGGCCCAACAAATACACAAACTGATAATTAGTGGTATAAAAACCATGGCCATTAACCACCCCAGTTTCCAACACAGAAAAGGCAGTATCCCTTGTTTCCTCAAACCCACTTCCAGCTCTATTTGTTCCCCCACAAGTCTTGTACAGCATTTCCATGCCTGAAACTTCAGCAAAGCCAGCAACTTCATACAACATATAGCACCCCAAAAGCTGGATTCTAGCAGCTATGGTTGGACCACAGAGTTTGGTTGCTAGCTGTGGCAGTCCGCTCACACAGTTGTAACAGTCACTGTTGCTGAGGTCTCCCCTGCACTGAAATAGACCAGTTATGGTGGTTTGGGTAGTCCCAGTTGTGGTCTTGTAGAACCTTGTTTTCATGGACTGGGAAACCATGGTGCCAAAGAGGGCAGAGAGAGTTTGTGAGTAAACCCCAGTTGGATCTGTGAAAGTCTGCTTTGCACAACCCTTGTAGACCAGGGTTGTATAATCAGCTGCAGATTCAACAGGACTTGTTTCAAGATTGGAAATGAGGGCAAGAAATGAGAGAAAAAGGAAGAATGGTGCTGAGGAAAAACCAAAACCCATTTGTGGGATGATTTTAAAATGGATCAAATGATAGCACTTTCTGGCAATTTTGTAGAGATCTGCAGGGGATCTGAGAAATGGGTATTTAGCTAAACCTGAGAGAAAGATTGAAGATTAATGGTTGAAAATTCTTCTCCTACTACCTCTGAGAAAAGAGTTTATTGGTTTCGTGGAGTTTGGGATCAACTTTCTTCTGTTGGCCTAGCTCTGTAAATGTGGAAAGGATTTAGATGGAGCCTTGGATTGGAGTGGCACTGTAGAAGGGAAGTGTTCTCTTTGGCTCCTCGAAGTACCAGCACACTGTGTGCAATAATTACCAAGAAAAAAAAAGATAACATTTTTTATGAAAATAGTGAATCTGTGTTGACAACTTTTTTAATATTTCAAGAGAATGAGATCAAATTGGGTTTTTCTCCTTGTTTTTTAACAAATACTAAATCAAAATTGTTTAAATTAAAACAAATTATTATGGGTAGAAGCAGTATTCCATCTTTAAAATAAAGTGCCCAGGAATGAATGTAAAGAAAGCTGATTTTGGATGGGGGAAAGTAGAAGAAGTTAGACCACAGTACATCTGAGTTTATGACCAG